ATTCCAGTCAATGAAGAAAGGAATCAAAATTTAGAACTCAAAAAAAAAAAAAAAAGAAAGAAAATTAGGAAACTGTAGTCCAAAAGAATTTCTGGCACCTCCCTTTGTTTATTTAACCTGCCACATCAGCCATGTGGTTGGATTCTGGGCTGGCTCCTGGTATGGGTGTCCGGGGGAGTCAGGCAGGACTGCCCTCGGGGCACATCTTTGGCTTTGCTTCTTTCTGGAAACTGGGACATGAGCTTGCGTAGCCACAGTTAACCCACAATTAATATGGACTCTGTTGTCATGACCCATAATCCCTTAAAATGATGTATGCTAAACTACTCTTCCAGAATTTTCTAACAGCTACACCCCTTGCTTGTGGGAACACTGTCCCAGAAGACTTTTTGAGGAAGTATGTGTTTCACCCTCACAAACACAGCAACAAAATAAAAACCAGGTTAAATGCCATACTAAATGCCAAGATACCTGAATAATGACTTTCTTAAGTCACCCACAATGATGACTCTTTTTAAATGGAAAAGATTGATCTTTCATAAAGCACATTATTTATTGTTTTCTAGGCCCTCCTAATGATGTTTCTTTGTTATCTCAGCTTAAACATAATATACAGAGAAAAAAAAGACTTAGGGAAATACACCAAGATGGAAGCAGTGGCCATCTCTGTAGGTGCTAGAATTCTGGACGATGGTATTTTTTTCTTTAAAGTCCTCAGTATTTTCTCAATTTTTTTCTGTGATTATGTTTTAGCTGTATAAAAAGTTGCTAAAATTAAGGACTCCTGGGTGGCTCAGTCAGTTAAGCATTGGACACTTGATTTTGGCTCAGGTCATGATCTCAGGGTCATGCGTTGGAGCCCCACATTGGGCTCCGCACTGGGCATGGAGCCTGTTTAAGATTCTCTCACCTGCTCTCCCTCTGTCCTCCCCCTGCTAGCTTTCTCTCTCTCTAAAAAAAAAAAAAAAAAAAAAAAAGTTGCTAAAATCAATATATATATTAAGTATGAACACAAGATATTATTGCATTGGTTTAAGAATACACAGAAAATTGTATAGCAATAGTTATAACTAAGTGGTAGATTAGGTAATACTGTTTTTCATAAGTACATATTGCTTTTGTAATTAAAAAAAAAAGACTAATTGGGGGGCACCTGTGTGGCTTAGTTGGTTAAGTCACTGACTCTTGGTTTCTGCTCAGGTCATGATTCATGGGTCCTGGGATCAAGCCGTGAGTTGGGCTCCTCACTCAGCGGGGAGTCTGCTTGAGATTCTCTCCCTATGCCCTTCCCCCCGCTCATGTTCTTGATCTCCCTCTCTCTCAAATTAATAAATCTTTAAGAAATTAATAAAATAAAAAAGACTAATTTCATTAAGAGAAAAAGTGTAAAAAATGTTGGAGTCATTCAATACTTCATGCATTTTAGAAGGAGGAAAGGTAAACACTTAAGAATGCTTTTACTATTACTGATGGTAAAGAAAATCTGCCCCATATCTTTTCCTTTAAGGTGCAATTTCTATTCTCTTGTATTTATAGCTCCCTTTCTGTGCCCCTAAAATATATCTATTATTAAATTTGAGTTCTTATAATTGGCTCTGTAAGATTGTGCCCATGTAATGCTTTAAATTCCATCCCTCAGGCCTTCACTGAAATATGTTGCTAGAATGCTCACACTCCCCCAGTGAGGCCAGATGTGTTAGTCAAATACTTTAAATAGATTTGATTGCAGGTTTGAAAAGGCTTCTCTCTTCCAGTGTCTTTAAAGGGGCTGGTGTTAAATGTTTTCATTTTTCTTTTTCCTGCTCTAGTCCTTGTATCTTCGGCTTGTTAGTCCATGCAACTATTAGTTTTATAATTCCTCTACATCTGAGGAGGACAAAGCCAAATCACAATGCCTGGTACAAACAAATAAGTGAATTCGTTCTCCTAGACACTTACTCTAGGCGTTCCTCAAGCCTCTGTATTGCAAATGCAACATGACAAATGATACCTTGGTTGTAAGATTCCGTTAAAATTGCTGCCAACTTCTTAGGATCATTAGTGGCTGTACAGGGGTCAAACACCAAACAAGTAAGAACTATTTACGATTGCTGGAGAGAAAGAGCTCTGACCTTCACACAAAGCATTCATCCCCAGGTATGTTTACATACGTCAATATAATAGTGGCTTTTACCTCACCCTAATCATTTTTTCTCCTGGTTAATATCTTCCTGAAGTCCTCCTATGTATCCTTTCTCTTGCACTTCCAAATAAAATGCAGCAGGATAATAAAGAGAGAAAGAAAAAAAAAAAAAAAAGCCAAAAAGTACCCCTGAGCCTAGAAAGCCCTTTTCAAACTGACTTTGTTTCAAAGGCCTGGGTTTGTCTGTGGAAGCCGAACCACATGCTTGCATATGCTTAGGGACGTGCTATTTATCCTCTGGAAGCATATACTAGTCTGCAAATGGATTACCAAAACCCAAATGAAGCTTCTGAATCTCATTTCTTGTTCAAAAGAGCAGTAGGTCATGAAATACTTGGGAGAAAGGACTGGTTTTAGGAAATCTTTCTGTGGTGATTTTGAGAAGGAAAGAGGATGGTAACCAATCGTGGATGGTAGGCAGGGCAAACAAATCCAATCACACATGGTTTTGTAACTGTGCACACAAAAGCTAAAATAACGCCTAATGCAAGATGGTTTCCTTGAATTCTCTCCAGGGCCACAGTATCTCACCAAGCACTAATTTGTATGGGACATAAAGAATGAGAGATTCCCTAGAGACAGACCATACTGGAAATATGCCTTGACTACCAAGTCATCCTACCCACAGGTCTGTCTACCCTATCAGATGTACATGGAGAATTTGGGGAGATGATAAACAATCTTCAGTCTCAAACTGTATGAATCTGTACAGTGATTTATGCCACGGGAGCAGGGGAAAGCCTCTGCCCCCTCTTCACTTCTGCTGGCTGAGACAGAGCAAAAGACCAATGTGTCCAGGCTCGGCACAAGACAAGAGTTGTAAATCTGAATTTCTCAGAAGCGTTACGAAACAAAACCAGAATTCCTTGACTGGCTGATAAACAGAAGAAAAATTCCTTCTTCCTTTCCTTGAGGTGGAAGTTCAGCCTTTCGTTTCAAACTTAAAAGTGCAGTCTGTCTCTACTAACACAGAAATCTCAAATTATGTCCCCCTTGCTGCATTTGTAACAGAGGTCCTTACAAGTTTTCTCAAGCCCCTTATAAATATGGAAATAAGGTACTTTATAGTCTAGATATTATGAAAACAGAAAAACAACCTAACACTGTGCCATAGCAGTTGTTGCCTAAACCAACAATGCCTATATATTCAAGATGTAATATTTAAGCTTTCGAGTAATAACACAATTAGTGATATATGAACTAGCCAACTATTCACTTGACCACATTAGAAAAGATTTCCTTTTGTGTGTAAATAGTTTAATCTTGATTTATAGTAATAAAGAATCACATCCAAACACATTATTCTGGGGTCTGGAGAATAAAGAAACACTATAATTTTCAAATCATAAATTATTTGATAGATAACTTATCTGGGAATATATTTAATAGGTAGGGTAGATAAGGAACTGAATGACACTCTACAGATTTTCATGCTAGTAAAAGGAGGAAAATGTGGGGGTTTTTTCTTAAATATTTTTATTTATTTATTTGAGAGAGAGAATGAGAGAGAGAGCACATGAGAGGGAAGAGGGTCAGAGGGAGAAACAGACTCCCCGCCGAGCAGGGAGCCCGATGCGGGACTCGATCCCGGGACTCCAGGATCATGACCTGAGCCGAAGGCAGTCGCTTAACCAACTGAGCCACTGAGGCACCCTGGTTTTTCATATGGGAATCTATTTTTTAATAATTTAACCAAGAAACAGGATAAAATCTTAATGTTTACTCTCACTTTCTAATTTTAAAGAAACATCTGCCTTCCATGGGTACGAAAAATTCATGACAAATATGCTTGTCAAGAAACAGTCTATTACAAGCAACACTTTGTAGCACATAATCCAAGTGTGTCTGACGCAACGTGGGCTTGCTATGGCAAGAAAGTCTCACCTCTTCCAGCACTCTCCTCCATGAGACCAACTGTTATATAGACTTAAACAGTGTAAAGTAAATAAATAAATAAAATAGAAATTAATAATTAAAAAGGAAAGACTCTAAATTATATTTTCAAGTGTATTGGTAATGAAAATGACAGTAGAAAGTTCAGCGAACCACTGGCAGAATCCATAGAAGGTTCTAGCTATAACAGCCTCCTTACATACTGAATATATTGAAATACATTAAATATTACAAAATTGCAGAAAGAAGAGGAGCAAAATTTCTAAAAACATTTTGATAACATGGAGAAAAACATAATGATCATTTTTATGCTTTCTTGTACCCTTTGGAAGGACAGCACATTCGCAGGACCCTTCCATGGACAAGTCGGCCAGTGTGGACAGGGCACATAATGGTGCGTCATTCACTGGAGGAAGAAAGTCAGCGTCAAAGAAAACTCATCCCCAAGTGGAAAGGTTTGGTTTTACTCCTTTTCCACAGAATTGATCCAAATCAAAATAGTCTTTCTTTCTTCCTTTTGTTTATGAACCTGAATGATGGGTTCACCCAGGCGGTCACGGTCCTTCCTAGAGTACTCTCACGAACAAAGATGTCCTTTTCCACTACAGCATTTGGTTTCTCCCTCTAAATCTGTCATGTTCACCAACACAACATTTAAGGTTCAGCAATTCCTCTAGGGAAAACACCCTCAATAACTGGCTTCTGTTCCTAAATAGAAACTATTTCTAAAGGTTCTTTCCCCAGGAACACTTTTTTCTTTATTAATTTTTTAATGATTTCCACTTATATTCTTGAATCAAATCTTGGTTAAGACTAAATTTGCCAATATTCCAGTAGGAGCTCTTTGCAACCTCATTATCTGTTTCAAGATAGAATTCACAATTAAAAGCAAGAGAAAAGGAAAGCCCAGTGTTGTGGGAATTACCTCATCTGATCCTTTCTTTTCTCCAGACTTGGAAGGTGATCCACTGGTTTTTCCACTGACATGCTATAAAAATATAAAAAGAAAAGAAAGAACGATGATGTTTAAAAGAAGGAGGTAATACAAGATAGTATAATAGTAACTTTGATCCCAAAGGACTAAATATGTACCCTGTAAAAACAAGGACCCCTTTAATCTTCTTTCTGAAAATGCTGATAATTCTACACTGACATAGGTGGCTTTCAAAAATCAAGAGAACCTACAGACATTCATTTGGGATGTAGAAAGTCAGTCTATAATTAACCAGACACAGATCTGATGGTGATTCCAAGGCGGCATCTTGTCTCCTACAAAATGCCGCACGCAATTTTAAAGTCCAAATTGCTGGCGTGGGAGACATGTGGTTCCTCATGGAGTTGTGATGTCTAAGGTCCATGTGGAGCCTAAAGCCATACTTAAGCCTCAGTTCAGCATGGGCTCAAGGGAGGACCACAGCTTCCAAGTCTGCCATCGCTTCTGATGGTTCTTGGGAATTCCTCAGAGTTCTTCCCCAGTTATCTTCCAGGAAGACAAACCCTGCAGGGGGAAGACCATACCTGCAACTTCTATTTATTATGGCTTTAGGATTTCATTATGTCCAGAAACAGAATTATTTTTCTCACCAGGACAGTGGGAATGAAAGCAAGTATTTTTATGTGGCACATAAAACCTTCAGGTAGCTTACACGCTCATTTGTCTTGATGGATAAGATAAAATGAGCCCTAAAGTTTATTGACTTTTTTTGAGAAATTAAAAAAAAAATTATGTTCCCGAAAAGGGTTACAAAGAATTGTTTCATTTCTTGCACATTGTAGGATGTGCAAGAAAGTGGGGAAAAATAACCTACATATAAGGAAATAAAAGCTCACAATTGGGTTCAATCCCAACCATCTTCAGTTACACCAAAATATAAAACTGTACAACATTCCCTAAAGCAAATCATAACCTGGATATGTAGGTCAATGAAATTATTTGAATTAAAAAGAGTGGTAGTAACAGTAATATTAATAATAAAAATTTATATCATTCTTTATTATTTACTATCATACATATTCGATACAAAAAAAGAGGCTCATGTGATTTTTAGGGATGAAAAAACTAAGAATAAGAAGAATTCATTGATCTTTCATAAGGACACAGACCTAGTAAGTGAGAAAAGTTTGCATAGCAGGTTTTCTGACTTACAATACATTGTCACTATAACATGCTAAATAGAATAAGGTAATATTTTCTTTAGTAATATCAACATATATTTTAATTAAAACAAGAATCCAAGAAATATCCAACACATGGATGAAGCCTTGCATTAAGAGTTCTCTGTATGAAAAACTAGGAGGAAATCACTTTTATGCGTGGAAAATTCTTCCCAAAATGTAACACTGTCATGGATCAGTGGGTGGAATCCACTCAGTGAAAAACCCCTAGGCTTCAAGAGCTTGGTGAATGAAACCCTGTACAGGGCCTGTTCCACCTTGATGTCCTAGTCTAGCATTTGTCTGTCCACAGTTGAGGGCAAGCAGTATTGAGTAGTAAATGAATCTGGAAAAAAAAAAATCTAAAAGCCCACATATATATCAGTGCTAGATGGTGAGACATAAGTTTCAAAAGATTCCTGAAGGCCAGACTAGAAGGGAAGACTCATTCACCATTTGCAGACAGAATTTAAGGGGGATAGATCTACAGTGACAGATTGACCCAATCTGGTCTCCTTCCAGACTTGGTAAATTTAGAACCCTATCACACTCACTATTATGTCCAAATCCCTATCTTTCTTGGATTAGAGACAAACATTAACAACAAAAAAAATGCAGTTTTACTGAGCATATTGAGTGCCTCATCACTCCTCAGGAGGTATTAGTATTCCACTTTACAAATGAAAAAGCTTAAAGAGGCACTTGCTCTTGTCAGGTAGAAGGTTCCCTGCTCTCCACAAGGTCCCCTCTGCTTCCTGCTCATGTGTCAAATATATATTATGACACACTGCCCTACAGTAAATGTGCAGACAGCCCTTTCTCCCTAAAATTTAGCTATACAGATGTTTTTCTTTAAAAAATTTTTAAAAGGGGCCCCTGCCTGGCTCAGTCTGTAGCGCATGCAACTCTTGATCTCATGATCATGAGTTCAAGTCCCACATTGGGCATAGAGCTTACTTTAAAAAATGCAAAAAAAAAAAAAAAAGTAAATAAAAATAAAAGTTTTTAAAAAGTCATCTCCTGAAGGTGTTCCAAAATTTCAGTCCTCCAGATTAACCAACACTATCAGTTACTTGTTTCCATTTAAACACTCAAAATCCCTTAAATCATGTAGGTTCTAAATAGTTTGGGATGGATATATATGCTAAATACTTTTAAAATGTTCAGTTATGATGACAACTTGGAAAAATTATGTACTATAAGAATTGGTATTTTGTGATTTCAAAAGAAATATTTGCTCTTAGTAGAAAGCTTTTTTACAACATAAAGTATAATTACATAAAAAACACCATCAAATGAGACCATTTTTTAGGAACCCTATGGATTATATTTTCCCAGTTTTTATAATCCAGCTTTTTTTTTTTAAAGTAGGCTCTATACCCCAACACAGGGCTTGAACTCACAACCCTGAGATCAAGACCTGAGCTGAGATCTCGAGTCAGACGTCTAACCAACTAAGCCAACCAGGGGCCCCAACCCACCTTTTATTATAAAATTTTTCTAACACACAGAAGAGTTAAAAGAATAATACAATGAGAACTCATATTCTTACCACTTAGATCCAATAACTATTAAGATTGTTGCTACATTTTGCCATATTTGCATATATTATAGACAGATCTATCTCTCTATCTGTATTTGGATATGTACCTGCATTTGAAAGTAAATCATAGGTATCTTAAAATTTTACCCCTAAACATTCCACTAAACATCTCCTTAAATTGAAGAATTTTCCCCAAGTAACTCCAATATCATCGTCACTCTAAGAGAATTAACAAGAATTACCTAACACCATTCAATTTCTAGTAAATAGCAACTTTACGAATGAACCATTGCCCTGACCATTTCTCAGGGCTTATTCAATATCCATCAATCTATTAACAATATAAATAGTTTTCGCTGAGAGATATTCAAAGTGTCTGATTTTTTATTTATTTTTTAAAATTTATTATTATCTTTTTAAAATTTGAGTATAGTTAACACACAAAGTACCTCATTATTTAATTCATGGCAAAATTAAGCACTTTCTACGTGACTGAGCTGATGCAAAGAAATATTTGGGAATGATTTATGTCAGATTCAATCCGACTTAGGAAACCTGCTGCAAGCCTAAGAGGGAAAAGAGAAAATTCTGTCCACTACAACGCGCAGCGGGTGTGGTGGGGAGAGCTGCGAGAAGCATGGAGAAGGAAAGCACTGATAGGTCCAGAAAGAGGACCAAACCACAAAACTGATAAATCCATGGAGGACTTTTCTAGATACGTGAAAGGAAACGAGTATGTTCTAAGCATCTACTTACTCTGTGCTAGCCCAGTGCTAACCATTTCCCCTAAGAGATCCCCTTCACTCCTCACAGCAATTCCAGAGGTCCACACTGTCAGCTCATTTTATGGATAAAGAAATTGAGGATCTGAAAGGTGAGGTCCTCCTCTGTCACACCACATATCCGGATTATATTCTAGGGGCCAGAGACTGGGCTACTCTGGATCTAGTGAAAAGCTAGTTAAGACTGTGGGACTCATATCAAAGAAGTCTCAATCCAGGGCACCTGGGTGGCTCAGTTGGTTAAATGACTGACTCTTGATTTGGGCTCAGGTCATGATCTCAGGGTCATGAGATCGAGCCCCACGTTGGGCTCCTGCTTGGGGTGGGGCCGGCTCAGGACCCTCCCTCTCCCTCTCCCTTTGTCCCTCCCCAGCTCGCTCTGTCTCTCAAAAAAAGTGCTGTGCCCCACAAATTAAAGGAAAAAAAAGTCTCAATCCAATGCTCTAAAATGAAAACAACAAACCAAAACAGAACCTTCCGATTGTGAAACTGGTTTGCTTTATAGAATCAATCAAACGTTCAGTCCTGTATTAACAGCTGGAGACCAAAGACAGGAAGCGCAGGAGGCTAACCCTCACGCAACAGAAATTAGATGGGGAGAATAAGGCTACAGAAGACAGTTGACACATGGAGCTAAGATGAAAGATGTGGTATGTGTGGCAGGAGTTCAGAAGCAGGGAAAAAGCAGATAAGGGACTTCACCATCTTCCCTCAAAAAGAAATAATTTTCCAAACTGTTTTTACCCCCATGGATCACTGTGTATTTGGCAAGTGTAGCTGGCCTCTGGCCTCGTTGGTGGAGAAAGCTTTTCATATGCTTAAAATTTTCTGCCACAGCAAACCCATAAACCTGTTGGGAGATCAACGAGAGCCAAGAGCTAGTAAGGCGGCAGCCTGTGAGCTCCGGGAGCCGAGGACTTGTGCTAGTGAGCATCTGGGCACCCTCCCCACCGCCACCCACATACCCTCTGAGAGACACACACACAAGGGCACAGGTAACACAGAAGAAAATAAAAGCAAACTTCTATACATATACAAAAGAAGAAGGAAGACAGAAAAAAAAAAAAAACTGAATTTCTACAAGCGCAAGCCCAGCTGAGAGAGTACAAATGCTATGTACTTCTGAAATGCCTTTGCTTCTTAAAAAAAAAAAAAAAAAAAAAGTTGGGGTTTTCTTTTAGGGGATGACAAAAACATTCTAAAATTAAATAGAAGTGATGTTTCCACCACTCTGTGAATATACTAAAAAATATTGAATTGAATTGTATGTTTTGATGGGTGAATTCATAGTTTGTGAATTATATTTGAATAAAATTGTTTTAAAAAACAGTAAAAGTTATTTGAAAATAACTCGAAAATTTTTCTTCTTCAACTTGGAGGCAAGGCCATAGAGACCAATATTTGCATGTCCAGCGTTAGCTGTGGCAAAATCATGAAGCAATAAGAGGTGATCTTGGTGCCCTCTGAACTTTCCTTGTACACAGAGCTCAGCTCTGTCACTGCATACCA